AGGATACCATCACATACCCCAAAGCCGTCTTCGAATCTTTTGAGGCAAGACTGTCTCTATGAATGCATGTGTCCGCCTCCGCTTGCAGGAGCCTGTCGAATCACGGCTGAGCTACTCCCTGGATGAAGTTCTGCAGAAGCCAGGGCCTCGGCGCAGTGGCTTTAGCAGCTTTGTTTTGGTGTAACCCTAAACCTTAGACCTTTTTGGGGTCTTAGAGGAATTTACAAAGGTGGGCTGAAGGTCTCCGGATGGACTTAAAAAATTTAGGTCAAGCGACCACCGGTGATGATCTAGTTAGATAGCTTATTGGCTGTAAGTAAACTCAACTTTTCAACTTTCGGGGCTCTTTTTTATGAGGTAGTCGATTCTGAAAGGTTCAACGTTTATTTCCTTGGGTTTGTGGCCAGTGAGATTTTTCCTTGCTGCCCTATTTCGGGTGTATGGCACCGCCCAGACCCCACTCCAGGACAATCTATCTTAAGATCTCAACTCCAATACTACAGAGGATATCAACTCTACGTAGTATCCCAACCTGAGTTACCACCCTAGGAAGGAAGTCTGCACCTGTTTGAGTGCCATACGCCTAAATAGGCAAGGGGTTCCCTGTAGAGTTTGGGTTCAGGGTCAGGGTTTGGTCGGGCTACTTAACGGATCATGGGACTTAGTAACTAGGGTTATATATAAGGTAACTAGACTTATAATTACTTAGAACCCCAATTAGAGGACTTATAACCTTTCTTACTAAGTCCCCTGATCCTGCAAGAAGACCCTAAACCCTAAACCCTATAGATCCCTTTACGGAATCCTATAGATCCCTTTAAGGAGCGCTTTAAGAACCCTCTCTTACTAAGTCCCCTGATCCTCCAAGTATCCCTTGAGAAGTTTCAGAAGTATCGCCTCGGACACTGTTCGGGGCAGTACTCAATCTGCTCCCTAACCTTCAAAATCCCAGAAAAGCATGGCCCTGAACCCTAAAGCCCTGAAGCTCTTAACAGCTGAACCCCTGAGCCCTAAAATCTAAACCTTACTTAGAGGATCATGGGACTTAGTAACTAGGATTATAGATAAAGTAACTATACTTATAACCTGACTTACTAAGTCTCCTCCCTCAGGTTCGCAGAGCAAGACCCTACACCCTAAAAACCCTAAACCCTAGCTTGCTCCCGCAGGTTCGCAGAGCAAGAGGCTCGCCTGGAGAGCGTCGTGGCCCAGTTAGCCTCCGAGCCACCCGGCCTCGGAGAGCGATTTTAGGGAGGGAGGGTTGATGGTATAAATCCTTCATTACGCATAATAGTAGGAATGTACCAGAATTCCCATAGTATAGGGTCATTAAGGCAATGCAGGGTTTATATCATCAACCGGTAGGAGTAGCGCTTGAAGGGTTTCTAGGGTTTTCGGGCGGTTTCTAGAACCCTAACCCTTAAACCCTTAACCTCCTAAAACCCTAAAACCCTAAGGTCCTAAACCCCAAACGCTAAACCCTAAATCCGAATCCCTAAATCCCTAAACCCTCAACCCCCTAACCCCTGAACCCTACACCCTAAACCGTCAACTTTGAGGACGGCGAGGCACAGCACGGTTCTAGCCAAACTGGAGAGCACCGTCTTGGAGCACTTCGCGGAGCCCTTGGAGGCCTCTAGGCTGTGGTGTTGAGAGTTTACTTAAAGGATCATGGGACTTAGTAACTAGGGTTATAAATCAGGTAACTATACTTATAATTAAGTAATTATAACCCCAATCAGGGGACTTATAACCTTACTTACTAAGTCCCCTGATCCTCCAAGTAGGCCCTTGGGTTTAGGGCTTTGGGGTTTGGGTTCAGGGTCTCCATCTCTAGAGCATTGGGTTTCACTGGATTTCTTGGGTTTAGGGGTTTAGGGCTTTCCTGTTTCCTACATTTCTTGTTGCGATTCCTGCGTTTCTTGTTGTGGTTCTCGCTCGTGTTCCTTCTTGTGGTTACGCCCATGTCTCTCTAGGGCTTTGGGTTTAGGGCTTTGGGGTTTGGGTTCAGGGTCTCCATCTCTAGAGCATTGGGTTTCACTGGATTTCTTGGGTTTAGGGGTTTAGGGCTTTCCTGTTTCCTACATTTCTTGTTGCGATTCCTGCGTTTCTTGTTGTGGTTCTCGCTCGTGTTCCTTCTTGTGGTTACGCCCATGTCTCTCTAGGGCTTTGGGTTTAGGGCTTTGGGGTTTGGGTTTAGGGCCTCCGTCTCTTTGTCATAGTTGAGTAACATTTTTACATTTTTAATCCTATCCCAACCATGAACTACGGTTGATGATATTAATCCTGCATTACCCATAATTCCCATAATAGGGAATATACCATAATTCCCATCGTCTAGGGTCCTTAAGGTAATGCAGGATTTATATCATCAACCGTAGGTCTCTAGAGCAGTGGGTTTCCTGGATTTCTTGGGCAAGCGCTTTGGGTTTCCAAGGTTTCGAGATTTGGGCTTCTGAGTACAGAATGTGGTTTAGGGGGTTTAGGGGGGGGCGAGATTTGGGCTTTTGAGTACAGAATATGGTTTAGGGTTCAGGGTTTCGAGATTTGGGCTTTTGACTACAGAATGTGGCTCTCCTCAGAGCGAAAACATGTGACAACGAAGCTTGAGTAGCTTCTACTCACGAATACTCTTCCTTATGGTTCCGTATGGTAACTACAGCGTACTACACCCAACGCCCTGTTCTAATTGCTAAAGCTCCAAAACTAGAGTCTCTGCAAATGTTGGAATTGCAATGAATTTCAGAACGCCGAGGGCCCGCTGGACTCGCTGGACATCCCGAGTCCGGGTACCGACGAGAACGGCGCCGCTGCTGCCGACGCTGCTGCCGCTGCTGCTGCAGAGAGCTTGGCCCCAAGAGGGCTGGGGTTTCCTAGACTAAACGCTACAACAGGGGCCGTAACAATTACCTCTACTATTTTGGGCGTTCCCTATACAGCAAAAAGATAATGTTCCCCAAATCCCTATTTTCATTATTAAAGCCTCTATTCTGAACCCAAAACCCTACGTTTTCCTTGGCCCAGAGCACTCTTCGACAGTTTCGGTGATCTCAACTTGGCTTGTCAGGACATCCGGCCAACTTATTCCGGCGCCGGAGCGCGGACGACAGGAGACATGGATGCTGTTTCCCGCTCCAAGCCTCCTTCAAACCCCCAAGCCCCAAAACCATAAACCTTAATTTTTAAGCCCTAAGCCCCTAAACCCGTAAACCCTTATGCACGTGCTAAAGGTCGTCGCACAAGTGCGACATAAGAAAGCTCCTGCCCGAGGGCGGCCGGGACTGGAACGATTGTATTGGAGCCCACCAGCGCCCCCAAGAGCGGGAACCGCCGGAAGAACATCTTCCGCGCCGCCGGGGCACCCGGACCTCTGGTTGAGTTTTTTCAGGCATTGGGAGTTTCCGAAAACAAGGGGTACCTCAATTTGGGGTCCTGATGGTCCCCTATTTTCGACAACCCCCAGGATTTTTCAGATATAACATCGGATATAGAATCACCCCACACCCGAAAGCCTAAACCCTCAACCGGCATCCCATAACGGATCCTCCAAAAAGGCTTGTTGCTTCACTCACTAGTAACTACAGTTAGGAAACCCCGAAGTCGACCCCAAAAGTTAGGAAACCCCGAAGTCGACCCCAAAACATAGGAAACCCCGAAGTCGACCTTAAAACATAGGACCCCCCCCCCTAAACCCTAAACCCTAAACCCTAAGACACGAAACCACAAAACCCCCCAAAACTCTTCAGGCCCTGGAGGATCCTTTGTGAAGAAGCCCCTTAGTCCCAGAGCCCCTTCCTCCTACCTTGAATAGGGTTTAGGGCTCAGGGTTTAGGGTTTAGGGTTTCGCATTTAGGGTCTTGGGGCTCCTTTGAGGGTTCCATGTAAATTTAAGGGTTCTTGTAAATCTATCAGAGATCAGGGGTTACAGGGAACTCCAGAAAGTTGGAATATGGTTTCATGGTAGGATACCTTATGGTTTACCATAGAAGGGGTAGGATAATCATATTCCAACTTTCTGGCTTTTAGCCTTATGAGAGTTGCAGATGTTGATCTTTAAGCTTTAGGTGCGCTTGGAGGATCAGGGGAATAAGTAAGGTAGCTGATCAGTACCCGAATTGGGCTGACAAGACATTATAGCTATAGTATATCCTGTTTAAAACCATAGTTACTAAGTCCCATTATCCTTTAAGCAGGGTCTTGGGTCCCCAAAATCCTAAGTCTTAAACCCTAATTAAAAGCTGCGATTAGGCCGACACCTGGTGGAAATCCTTGAAGCAAGCCAACAAGGAGCTGTCAGCGCAAGAAGGCCCGGACATTTTTCAGGAAATGTAGGAACCAGGGTAGGTTTACTGCTTGAGGGGTTTAGGGTTGTGGGGGTTTAGGGTTTAGGGTTCAGGGTTTAGGGGTTTAGGGTTCAGGGGTTTAGGGTCCAGGGTAATTGAAATAATGTAGCAACCTGCTTAAGAAACCTTGGGCCTTTATTAGGGTTCCGTATATGAATCCTAGTACTTTGGGGTTATAGGGCCAGGGTTTCTTAATCAGGTTCCTACATCAGAAAGGCTTTCATAAGGGTACTAAACTGGTCTGTATGTGGTTTTCTACAGTACAGAATTTCCATAATGCTGCCCAAAACGGAGTCCTATAGCGGTTTCCATTCTCAAACTTAACCGAGATGTCTGCAAGGGTTCCCACTATGAGAGTTCTTTAACTGTACCTGCGTTGAGATATGGTGATGATTGCCATCACCCTAGCTCCAGTTTGTGTCAGTATAGGCATGAGTATTAACATTAGCGTTAGTATTGATGTTAGTTTTGGTATTAGTATGAGCACGACGGTTCATGATACAAATCCTGCATTTCCCCCATAGTCAGGAATATACCATAATTCCCATAGTCTAGGGTCCTCAAGGTAATGCAGGATTTATATTCATCAACCTCAGAATCAGCATTGGCACTCTTTTTTTCGCTGTGCTGGAAGGTGGGAGGAGCTTCACCGACCGTATGCGCGGATTCCTGTCGAGCTCCTTAGCCGGGTGATATGGGAGTTTCCGAAAATAGGGGTACCTTATTTGGGGGTCCTTATAATAAGGATCCTACTATTTAGGGTACTATATTAGGGTCCCCTATTTTCGGAAACTCCCATATCGCAGCTGTGCTTTCGTCCCAGAAAAGACGCAGAAAGTGTAAGGGGCGGCCCGGTAGCTGAGAAATATGCATTACAGTATAGGGGGCTTAGGGCTTAGGGTTTAGGGTTTAGGGTTGAGGGGCTTAGGGTTTAGGGTTCAGGGGTTTAGGGTTTAGGGTTTCGGGTTTAGGGTTTAGGGTTTAGGGGTTCGGGTTTAGGGTTTAGAGTTTTGATATGACGTAAGGTCTCATCCTTAATTAACGGGTACTTGGCTCTCTGGGAACTCAGAACTCAGCCGAGGTTTCATGGCTGATGTGGCGCTGGGCGTGGCTTCTCGACAGCTTTGGCTTGGTCCGAGTTTCAGAAGGTACGGTTGATGATATAAATCCTTCATTCCCCATAATAGGGAATATACCATAGTTCCCATAGTTTAGTGTCCTTAATTATGGTAGTGCAGGATTTGTATCATCCACCGTACATCCGCAGTATCGGGCAGGGCATGGTGATTCGTCAGTTCCGAAGCCAAGAACCTTCAGGAGGGGACCTCCTAAACCCTGAACCCCAAACCCTCAAGAACCTGGGCTTTGGAGTACCATACTTTTATACTTTTTTGTTAAAGGAACCATCTGAAATAAGAGTTCATACCTTCTTCTCCCTGGTTACTTAAAAGCACAGGAACGAAAATCATAGAACTTGCGTCCCTAACCCACCCAGCTGGGCAGCCACTGCATTTTCGTAAGAATAAACCTCTAATTTGCTTCAGCGCAGCCCAGCCCCCGAATTCGAATTTGGGTCCCAAAAGAACAATCTCTGTCAAAACGTTTCGGTCAAGACTTCTTGGAACCCACACCCTTTGAAAACTCCGTGAGGCACCCAAACACCCAACCCCTTAAGCAATTCTGCAAACCCCCCCTCAACACCCAAACCCTTAAGCAATTCTGCAAACCCCATGTTCTGCAACTCCCTGGAATTGGAGTACTATACTTGAATACTTTTTTTGGTACCTGTTCCTTAAAGGAACCATTATGAAATACAAGTTTATACTTTTCTCCCTGGTTACCTCAAAGTCCAGACTCCCATTTGCGCCGGCGGTTTCAACTCTGCGGAGCTCCCTAAACTGGAGGGTCATACCCTACCCCTTTTTAGGTTACCTAGTTTTATGGTTGGCAGCTCCTATCTAGAAAAGTAGGTACCTTAAAAAAGGTGTAGGGTATGAGCCTATAGGTAAACTGGAGCCTGAATCCTGCAACCCAACTCCCAAGCCTTAAGCCCTAAGCCCGAAATCCTAACCCTCAGCCCAAAACCTTAAATCCTAAACCCTCAGCCACCAAAATCCTGTACCTTGGCCGTGAAACTGGTGAAGAGTGATGTATCTGAATGGGTGCAGGAGTTTGTTTTCCTGGCAAATTTTGCCGGGGGTGTATGGTGCAAGTCAAAGGTGCATTGCACTACCGATCCTCATTCTTAGTAGCCGAGCGGTAACCTGTGAGCTTGTTTGGGTTATACAGTCCTACCATAACTGACAAGGTTAAACCCCTAAAGCCCTAAACCCCTAAACCCCTAAACCTTAAACCCCTAAACCCTGAACCCTTTTGGGCTAGGATCCTCAGCCCTTACGCATTCCTTAAACTGCAGCCTCTGAATGCAACACCCAGGTAATCGCTGCGAATATGGCAGCTCCTCAGTGGCAGAAATCTAATGGCTCGCTATACGATCGGATAATGTAAAAGCATAGATACTTAGAGGATCATGGGACTTAGTAGTAGTAGGTTATAATTGGGGTTATAAGTCCCTTAAGTGGGGTTATCCTAATTATAACCTACTTATAACCTTACTTACTAAGTCCCATGAGCCTTCAAGTAGTCCCTCAACCCAACCCGCTAAGTCTTGAAGACCCCAAACCCTCAACCCTACATCCTTTAAGCTTGAATCTTGCACGATACATGCCTGAAGCTTTCAACCACTGACCTCCTCGTAAGTAACTTTATAAGTACCTGTTTTCGGGATATAAGTTTGTTTAGTTAACTCATGTATATAACCATCGTTACTAAGTGTCATGATCCTTTAAGTGGATGCCGTTTCTCAGTCGTACATCCTCGAGAACCTAGATTCCAAACGCCCTGCGCAACTCCCCAAAGGCCGAACCCCCGATCCAGGCCCTAAGCCCTCAACGAAACCCTTAATCTCGAGGCCCAAAAGCAGATCTTCGATTCATAGCTGGAGGGGTTCAGGAGTTTAGGCCTTCAGGATTTAGGGTCGCAGAGTCTTTGGGTTTGAGGGTTTTAGGGTTTAGGGTTTAGGGTTTAGGGTTTGAGGGGTTTGAGGGGTTGAGGGACGTAGTTGTTCAACCGCTAAACTAAACCCTAAACCCTAAACAGCTTAAACCCCATAACTGTGCTGAGGTCATGTTCTGTGAGCACCAGTGGTCCGGCTACGAGTGTGCATTGGCCCTGGGGAAGCGGACAGACGACTTCGGCTGGGTCTCTTGCTTAGATAGTGAACGGGGGAACTTGAAACTTTTTGGCCTTGCATGTTAGCTCTAACTTAGAAGGTTTGAACTTTAGAGCTTGAAATGCACTCAAGCTGAGCTGCTTGTTAGAGAAGTATGTGCAGAGATAGCTCATTATGAGCGAATATGGCAACCGCAGCAATGCCGACCTGAAGGAACATTCGTGGTATGACTATGGTATCATTACAGCAATGACCGAAAACCGAATGAGTACAGATCGCAAACAGGGCATTGGCAGTCGACTGCAGGCAACTCGCTAATTATACTGGCGCATGATAACCGTTGTGACAATAGCAGCAACACCGCCATGTAATGCTAGTTGTAGTTGTGATAACGTATGTGATTTCCTGCTCATGCTAGCTAGGACACATTGCATATCAACAGCTGCCAGTGCAACAAAAAACTGGAGCTTGAGGCAGCGACCGTAGCAGTCACAGCAGTAGTGCTAGCTGAAGTGCTGAAGACATGCATGACCTTTTCATAGCTGACAAGCAATTGATAGTGTCAATGCCAGTGTCGATATTGCTGCTACCAACACTTAAGTTACTACAACCAGCCATAATCATGAGAGGAACACCGAAACTCTAGACCAAAACCCTAAAACTCTAAAGCCCCAAACCCTAGACCCTTGACTTAAACCCTAAACCCTTTAAGCCTAAACCCCTACAGCCCTAAACCCCCAAGCCCCCCCGCACGTCAGCATCAAAGGCAGAGGCCGAGCCAACTTTCGAGATCTTGGAGATGATCTTTGTCTCGAGCCTTGGGACGGTTCTTCAAGAATTTGTCGGGGTTTTGAGGGACATCACTTTTACTCTTGGTTGATTTCTTTAGTTGTTTGTTTCGCTTGGAATCACGACTATCATTTCTGTACATTGCATGCTATCATCGCCAGATATTTGGGTTTCTTATGAGGGTTTCTAAGGCTCCCACCCCACAGCCCTCAAAGGAGCCGATAAAGGGGAACCCTTCAGGAGCCCTTGAGGGACCGACTCTGGTCCGGGCATAGCATAATGAGATTAGAATCTACCCACAAAGCCCTCTTCGAAGCATTAAGGCCACTTCTTCGGAGCTCCTAAAGAACATCCTAGGAGTTTATGGGCTGTGATTTTACGAGTTTCTGGGTCATGATAGGTGGCATTGTCGAAAGCTTTGGGCTTTGTGGGATCCTTTAAGCGCCTGGGATTGTCAAGGATCTACCTGCTTGATGTCATCCTCCGCATGATCTTCCTGCCTCTGAGTCGCCTCAGGCCGCCGTTTGCTTCGTGGTTACTTCTATTTCTGCTCGGAAGTTCCCGAAACTAAGGGGTAGCTGAATTTGGCGGTCCTATAGTAAGGATCCTACTATTTAATTTAGGGTACTATATAAGGGTTCCCCATTCTCGGAAACTTCCACTTTACTTCCACTCCTACGACGACTACCTCACCAATAACAACTACCGCTACAGCTACAGCTGCTACAAGAAGAAAAACTAGTACTGTTTTTTTCGAGAACTTAGCCGCTACTGCAGGTACTGTTGTTGCTGTTGCTGTTGCTCTTGCGATTGCTGCTACTCGCTACTTTCATCATGATTACGGCTTCATCACTATGGCGTTCCATGAGTTGTATGACCTTGCATACCCCCGTTGTAAATACTCCTTAGTGGTAGTTCGTCCGGTGACATTGGGATGTACGCGATTTTCGAGGACCGAGCAATCTGTTTACCTAAACCCAAAATTGCAAACAAGGTTTAGGGTTTAGGGTTTTCAGAAGGCCCCCACACTTAGAACGCCCTATTCTGCTTGTCGAGGTCTCTATATCGAACCCCACAAAACCCTAAGCCCTACTGCCCTACCCTAACAGCCCAGAGTCTGTGCTTCCGCCTGCGCAGGCAGCCCCTCAACTTTTTTGACACTGTCGCGCCTCTGCAGCAAAGAAAGACCAGAGGAATGTGGCAATGGCTCGTAGTAGTAGTAGTAGTAGTAGTAGTCGTAGTAGTCGTAGTAGTCGTAGTAGTAGTAGTAGTAGTAGTAGTAGTAGTAGTAGTAGTAGTAGTAGTAGTAGTAGTGGTAGTAGTAGTAGAAGTAGTAGTAGTCGTAGTAGTAGTAGTAGTAGTAGTAGTAGTAGTAGTAGTAGTAGTAGTAGTAGTAGTAGTAGTAGTAGTAGTAGTAGTAGTAGTAGTAGTAGTAGTAGTAGTAGTAGTAGTAGTAGTAGTCTAGTAGTAGTAGTAGTAGTAGTAGTAGTAGTAGTAGTAGTAGTAGTAGTAGTAGTAGTAGTAGTAGTAGTAGTAGTAGTAGTAGTAGTAGTAAAGTAGTAGTAAAGTAGTAGTAGTAGTAGTAGTAGTAGTAGTAGTAGTAGTAGTAGTAGTAGTAGTAGTAGTAGTAGTAGTAGTAGTAGTAGTAGTAGTAGTAGTAGTAGTGGTAGTGGTAGTAGTAGTAGTAGTAGTAGCAGACGAATCTGAGAAGAGCCATGTTTTCATTCCGAAAAGCAGTTGTAGTAGCTGCCCTAGCATTAGTAGTTGCGGTTGCAGTTGCGGTTGTGATAGGGGTAAGATGAAACCAGTATAGAAATGGCAATGGTTCCAGTTGTAGTCATAGTACTTGTTGTAGTGATGATAGAAACACGTCTTGATAAGAGTCAAAACACTAGTAGCAACTAGCATAGAAAATAGACAGGTTGCCCTAGGCCAGGTATGAGGTACGTCTCCCTGAGGCTTTGATACCTTGGAAGAAGCTGAAGAGGGTTTAGGGTGGAGGCACACTCAAAACCCTAAACCCTGCACCCTCCGTAAAGCTCTAAAGCCTGGAGAAGCCCCAAAGCAACACACCCCCAAACCAAAAGCCTTCAGTACAAAAGCAGTAGCACTTGAAGCTCCGCCCCTGACAAAGGTCGTCGTCGTGGTGGCCTCAGGTTTCCTTTGTGTTTTGTGTTTACAGTAGGATGTAGCGTTCTGAGTTTAAGCTCGGATTCAGGGTTTAGGTCTTGGGGTTTAGGGGTTAGACGGTTTAGAGCTTGGGGTTTTGGGGGCATGCCGCCGAAACCCGAAAGCTGCCAGTGCAAGTTCGGTGGCTGAGGCCACAGTGTTTAGGGATTAGGGTCTCGGGCTTGGGATTTGGGGGTTGAATGAAGAACTGAGGCAGGTAGCGAAGTTTCGGTAAAAAGGCCTCCCTGGTGCCTTTAAACTTTTTGGGTTCTTATAATTTAGAAAGTTCATTTCTGTGGCTCATTGGGGTAGTAAGTAACCGTAAGTGGTGGACCTCGTACTTTAAGAAAGTCCGTGGGTCCTTCGTGTACTTAGTACAAGCTATGCCACCGGTGATGGTTTCGTTGAGCGGACATTCCTGATTTCTAGAGTTTCTGGAGTCCCCCTAAACCCTAAACCCTAAACCGGACCATGAGACTGCCTATGTGTCGACACTACTAAATAGTAGTGCCAACTTGCGAGGTTCGGAAGATAAATGAGATGATGCATGGAGCTCCCATGAGTTGTTATGACATCGGATTTCTTCCAACATGGGCAAAATGGGTCATCTGTGATCGCACATCTTTGAGACTGTCCTCCTTGGGGGTTTCGGGCGCAGGTAATGTCAAACCAGTGTAGTAGACCCCCTCGATGTACCAAACTTGATTGCAGAGAGTTCTGTCGTCCCTTCAGAGGCAGTATGCTTTGACATGTCAATGCAGAAGAAAAGACCTTTCGTCAAAGTCGAAAGAGGCACTGCAGGTGTATGTCGCACGCTCTGATAGCCTTTTCTGCACGTCTGCAGCCACGCCACAGGGTTTTATTATCGCTCTGCTGAAGCAAGGTTTGTGCCATCGACGTCTACATTCTAAGACCGGCAGGCAGGACGGCTTGGTATGCTGGGGTCCGAAGAGATAGCAATCATGTCCCTGTACGTGTCCGTACATCGTTTTACGATCGTATCCCCACAAAAACCCTTTTCTACAACCCTAAACCGTACCTGGACACCGAATAACTCATGTTTCAAGGATTTATATTAGGAAATCATATTAAGGAACCCGAAAACGGTAGGTTTCGCAGGGTCCAGGCGAGTGGCCTGAAGCTGAGCATCCGAAAGCTGGGTGCAAGGCGTCGCAGATCTGGAAGCTCTCATCATTCTGCGCCTCATCCGTGCAGCGCGGATTCTTCGCGTGGTCCGAGTTCTAAAGTTTATGAGACTGCCCCTCGGATGGTTTAGGGTGTAGTGTCTACTTTCAGGGTCAGGGCACTTCGCAAGGAAGGTCAGAAGTACCTTAACCGGCATGAAAATGCAGTATGAGTACAGTTACCTCATTGGTAGCCCTAGCTGATAGGTCCCATGCTCCTGTACGCAGGCAGGGAATGCACATCTGAAGTCGGCCTCACTCAACCCTCCTCTGCCCCCACTCAGCAACAGTTGAATACTATATATATATATGTATATTAATAAATTTTTCTATTTATTCATATTTATTATATACATACACAGATATAGGTATATTAGCCCGAGTATGGGGGCAGTACCCAACCTCCCCTTTCCCAGGTTTCATAACCTTCACGTCCTCATCGAAACGCTGAGCAGCATGCTCGTCGACCTTTTCTGGGGCTGCCTCCTCTTAACGACGATCATCGTGACTGCAGGACATTCACGGGTCCACTGCAAAGTTGCGATTGTCGCAAGCTGCTGCTTTTAAGGCTGTTCCCTACAATTACTAGCACTGTGTCTGCCATCATTGCATTTTTGATGGCGATGTTCGTGTATACTCTTTGTGCTGATGGTCCTGGTTAGTACCACAATGATAGGAGTAATAAGTCTCTGTGCTGTTATCACAGCTGTTTTCTTTGTAGTTGCCGAACATGTTCTGTTTAGTATCATCGTCCGTTCATCACTATTGCCTTGCCCCCCAATGCGAGTCTTCTGGCCATGTTATGGTGCGTATGCTTTGCGGTTTCCAAATGATGACAATCGTTGCGATGAGGCTTTCAATGATTATGATTAAGTTGCCGATGATTCCTGCTGCTCCTACAGCCCTACAGTTACAGCTAGCCCGGTTCGTTGTTACCGTACTTATTCTCGTGCTTGCTAGCAGCCTGCGCTCTAAACCCCAAACTAAGTCCTAAAGCGGGACTCTAAACCCTGAACACTAAACCCCAAACCCTGCACCCTGAACTGAAGCCAACACCTTAGCATCAAACTGGATAAACTTTACACTTTTTGGGATAAGATTACCCACTGTAAACTGAAAGTGTACACTTGTTGGGGCTTAAGAGCTCAGGAATTAAGACGCCGTTGTGAGGCCTTCTTCCTCTCATAATTTCAGTATCATGGGCCCCAAAACCTTGTTTTAATGATTAAAGCCCCTACATTACACCCTTGTGAGGCCTTTTTCTTGGCACCTTGGCCCAAAGCCACATCCTGGACGACAGCCTGGACCCGAGGACCCGGGAGTTTCTGTACGAAGCTTGGCTTTGAAGACCCATGCAGTAGACCTAAAGTCTCCATTGTAGTTCCTTTCTTGGTTAACCAAAAACTGTATTATAGGATCCTAGCCACAACACTGGATAACAGAAAAAGGAACTACAATGGAGACTTTTGGTAGACCTAGGGTTCCTTCAAGGGCTCTTCAGGGTTTTTTAAAGGGATCTATAGGGCTCCTGTAAGGGATCTTTAGGGTTCCTTAAAGGGATCTTTAGGGTTCCTTAAAGGGATCTGTAGGGTTCCTGAACGGGATCTATAGGGTTCCTTAAAGAGATCAATAGGGTTCCTTCAAGGGCTCTATAGGGCTCCTGTAAGGGATCTATAGGGAGTTTCAAGGGTTTAGGGTTCAGGGCACTAGTAGCATCACATAGCTATGCTAAGACGAGCATCTCCAATAAAAGCAGACATTGTATTAACAAAAAAGAACGTAACCTGTAGTAACGATGACGCTAGCAATACCAAAACTCAGAATAATGAGAATGCCAGAAAAACAGCCCTGAACCCTGAACTTAACACTGAAGCCGGCGATGTCCTAAAGCAAACTCGCACAGGGATCCGAACCCCTTCTTGGCCATAGATTTCGGGTTTTGGGGTTACGGGTTGAGGGTTATCCTCAAGCCGTAAGACCCTTGTAACATAGAACTTAGAAGGGGCCCCACCCTGTATAGTGGTATAATAGGAATATAAAAGGGCTCTACTATAATCCTTATAGTCACTATTACAGGGTGGGGGCCACTTCTAACATAGAACCCTTTAAGAGCCCTATCCTAAACCCTTGTAGGGAGCCTTACGAGGCGCGACGTTCCCCTATAGAGCAATCTTTCAAAGCGTTCGTTTAAGAGAGTTTTGGGGGCTCCTGTAGAGCAACCCCTAAAGAAACCCTCACAGGGACCCTTATAAAGCCTTGAAAAGGGAACGCTCAAGGAACTCAAAAAGAAAACACCAATATGGGAGTTTCCGAAAATAGGGGAACCCAATATAGGACCCTGAATAGTAGGATCCTTATTATAAGGACCCCTAAATAAGGTACCCCTATTTTCGGAAACTCCCATATATCATGAATCCTTAAACCCTAAACCCTAAACCCTGAACCGAATCCCTTCAGGCGCGATTTGCCCATGCCACCTCGGCTTCGTACTACCTCTTCGAGGCTGCCATGACTTCGGCCTGGGCCGCTCGGCGTGTAGGTTGTTTGTGAAACTAGGACCCAGAGTAGGCCCGTATTCCCTTTTTTTAGGGTTTGGCTTCTCTTATAACCCCCTTTAACCCAAAAAGGGCACCCTTTTTTTTCCTAGGTTACTCTTAAGCCTAGGAAAAGTGTTGAGGGTTTAGGGGTGCTGGGTTTTAGGGGTTTAAGGGGTTAGTAATTTAATTTAGGGCTGGGGTTTGGAGAGTTTTAGGGTTTAGGTCCCTTCTTCAGCGGGCTCTTTTAATGGGGCTGCTGTTGTTTTTTTGGGCTTCGAAGCCTTATTCCCTCAAGCGGGCCTTGAATAGATGCTAAAGGATCCCTGTGGATTCCTTATAGGAGCCCTTAGTCGGATTCCTTAACCATAAACCCTAAATCCTCAGCCCTAAACCCTATATCCTTACTGCTGACGCCCTGGACCCTATATCCTTAACCCTCAACCCTAAGCCCTAAACTCTTACAGTAGAAGCCAGAAAGTTGGAATATCATTATCATAATCCCTTTAAAGTAAAATATAGGGGATCCTGCCATTTTTCCATATTCCAACTTTCTGGAGTTCCGTTTAAGGGGAGTCTGAAGAATCCCCCCGCGTTGCCTGAGGTGACATCAGCCGGGCCAATGATTTTCGACGTGGCTTGGCTTTTGGGAGGGTCCCTTTAATAGGGACCCCCAGAAGCATATAAGCATAAGCATTGTATGGGGATATCCCTAGCTTATTGGGCTTCAGTATAAGGGGATTTATATGGGATAATCCCTATCCTAACTGTTGCTTGTGTGCTTTTTTGGGGCCTCATTTAAGGGTCAGGTAATGGGGTCCTCAGGTGTTCCTTTACGGATTCCTTTGAAGTCCCTTTAAGGCGTCCGGTAGGGCCCCTTTAAGGGTTTTTTTAAGGTCCTATAGGCTTCCTTTTCAGGGCTTCCTTGAAGGGTTCTACAGGGTCCCTAGGGGTTTCTTAATTGAAAGGATCTACACAGGGATCCATTACGAGATCTTTTAAGGCTTAAGGAATGTATCCATTAAGGGATCTTTTAAGGAATGGATCCATTAAGGGATCTTTTTTTGAGGAATGTATCAAGGGACAAAAGGGATCGATTCAGGGCCCCTTTCAGGGAAACCCTAAACCCTAAACCCTAAACCCAGGGATTTAGGAAGGGCTCTACAAGGTTTTTGTTTGAATAGCGGCTCTTTTGGGTTTAGGGCAGTTTAGGGTTTCAGGGTTTGAGGGCTTCAGGGTGTGGGTTGTGGGTTTCGGGTTTAGGGATTAAGATCCCGAAATCCTTCAAGCCGTAAAGCTTAGAGTTTAAGGCTTAGGGTTTTTAGGGCTTTTAGGGTTTTGTGGCGCATGATAGACGTGTCTTACCTGCCCAGGTCAGCAGCCTCTTTGCGCTCTTCTGGGTGCCATATGCTCCTTGACGGCTGAAATCGACCCCACTGTGAAGGGCGAGGTTCACGGAAACTTCCATGTGCCAACTCAGCATCCAACCCCGAAACCTCAACCTACGTTAAATTCCATCCCATGAATGTTCGAACCCAAACCTTGCAGCCTTAACCCGAAAGGTTGTTATGGTGAACTTTGCAGTGACGCGCGTCATTGCAGCCCTGTTCTTGAAGTCGACGCTAGAAGTCGCCGCGAGGGAGAAGGAGAAAGTTGCCAACGAGGCTCCGTCATGCACGTCTTGAGGAGTTTCGGGTTTAATTAGTGTTGAGGGTTATCGCCACATAGAGGTTTCTTCAAATGAGCTTCAGGTTCGATGGCAAGACTTGGTAGATTTTATGGCGGTTGTTTGCAACTGTGGTATTGGGGTCTGGATGAGTCTTCTTGCTGAAGGCTTCAATACTCGAATCGTTGTCGCTGTCGTTATTCATGGACGACGGGCCAGTCGGGTCGACAGAACCTGAAGCCTACGAACCCTTTAAGCTGCGACAGGCCAAAAAGAAGAAGGACAAGGTGGCCAAGCGCCGTGCTCTCGGTGTCTGGCAGTCTAACGGCCCCAGAATAGCTGATAGAGCCCTCTCGTCATTGAGGCCTGAAGCACATCTTCAAGCTGGCAGAAACTTGGAGAGGTTCAGAGCACCTAAATCCTGACACCAAGAAAGCCCGAGAACCAGAAGGTTCAAAATCCTAGACCCTCACTCCGGGAAGCCTTTGTGGCATCATGCTAGTATCAGTTTGTAGCCCTGCAGAATCATACTATAATAGATCCGGCCTAACTCCTGATTCACACCACAATGGCCCCTGAAACCCGTTCCACAGAGTCCGCTCAGCTGATCCTTTCCCCGCGAGAGCTACTATGTAACTAAGGATGGCAGTGGCTGGGAGCTCAGCTGGACGTTTCGGGTTCAGCGTTTAGGGCTTCGGGTTGGGGTGGTTCACTGTTTATGGTTTGGGGTTCAAGGCTCCAGTGGAACGAAGGTCCTCCCATTCCCCAGAGTCTAGGACTTCAGTCAACTCGGAGACCGCTCAGTGACTGCAGATCCTTCGACGGTTCTTGCATGAATCCCCTAGCAAGGCCTGCATTTCAGGTTGAGCAGTTCATGGCGCCATGCAGCAGCAGTTTGAGGCAGTGCCAAATGTCACCCTAAACCTAAACCCTCAGCCCTAAACCCTCAACCCCAAGCCCTAAAGCCTCTAAACCTAAGCCCTAAAGCCTCTCAGCCCTAAAACCTAATCCTAACTATTCAAAGCCTGAGGGTGCGGGCCGTGTCTTAGGTGACGGGTGCGTGGCTTTGGAAGATTTTCGGCGGATGCTCGACGAGCCAGATGTGTCGCTTGGCGAAGCTCCGCAACGAAAGTCCGGCTCCTACACTCACACCTTAAGCACTAATGGTGAACCCTTATAGCCTTGTAGTCCCTAACCATAGTTATATAGCATACGGACATCATAGCCCTACACGCTTAATCAGAATTCCACTTACCTAAGGCTACATCCTCCATCCTAAACCATCGGTGCTGGGTTGTTCTGTACGAGGGGCGATACTCTAGGTCAAGCAAAGACCCACCCTAAATTTCTGGACCCGAAACCCTATCAACCCTTCAAACCTTTAACCCACCCCAAACCGCCACCCTGCACCCTAAACCCGAGCAGCCCTAAACATTGAACCTGGAGCTTCAGAAGCCTCAACCCCAAACCCTGAGCCCATAGCCTACAGGGCTGAACTTTGAGTGCTGAGCCCTAAACCCTCTAAACCCTTTAAAACCCTGAACCCGAAGCCCTAAGCCGTCAACCCCAGACCCAACACCGTGGGTCTTACAACCCTAAACCCTGTTCCCATAGCACCCACCTTAACCCCGAAGAAACTACATGAAATATCATAATAAGGCTAAGGAGCCCTAAAAAGGTAGGTTATTGGTTTAGGGTTTAGGGTTTAGGGTTCAGGGTTAAGGCAGGGCTTGGTTTTGAGTGCTGAGCCTCAGATCATCGGGGGCCGAGGCTCGAACACCTCGAGGAGATGGAGTGTCTTGGCCTAGGACCCCAGAGAAGGCCCTTCCTAACCCTAAATAAACCCTAAACCTAAACCGCCTCGTTTTCTTTCCTTTGGTTAGTAGGGAATGGAGGAATGTGGTACAATTGTAACTACTACTGTTGATGCCCAAAATCCTGCATGACCTACAGCATCACACATATGTGATGTCGCGCTGTCCATTTCCCCGCAGCCCCTGAATTTCAATGTTGCATCACCCTGGGGTCATGCAGGATTTTGGGCATTTGCGCAAACGCTTTTTCTAGACTCTGTGTCAGTGCAATATTAAAATTGGGGGTAGCAGGGGAGCCGTGGGGAAGTTTAAACCGATGCAGGATTTAGGGCATCAGCCGTAGTACTACCATTCTTCCATTCAACCAAAGGTAAGGGGACCCAGAGTAGGCCCTTACTCCCTTTTTCTAGGGTTTAGGTTCCCTTATAAACCTCCTGTTAGACCAAAAAGGGGCACCCATTTTATTCCTAGGTTCCTCTTAGGCCTAGTGGCTGTTGCTTAGGGGACCTACGACCTAGAAGGGGCTCCTTGACGCGATCCATATGGGTTCCATTGGATTGATAAGGATTCTACAGGGGTTTAGGGGATTGTTTTGAGGTTTTAGGGTTTCAGGGCTTCCGGGTTTCGGGTTTTAGGTTTCAGGGTTTCGGTTCCGGGATTTGGGGGTCTAGGGTATTATCAGTATCGTCATCATGAGTTTTATCGTTTATATACTGTTGTTGTTGCTACTAGTATTGTTACTAGTTCTTGTATAGTTAGTAGTTACTACGACGACGACTACTACTAATGCTACTACCGATATTACTATGATTCAAGGATTAACCCTAAGGCTCTCGGTCCATGGAGACTCGGTTGAGGATTTATGGTTTTGAGTTAGAGGCTTCAGGTTTTCGGGTTTAGGCTTTCGGGTTGCGGGCTTCGTTCGGGTGGGTGAGAACAGGGTCGGGGCATTGTTCCAGGTCTAACCGCACACTGTCCTGAATGCCATCGTCACAGACGTCTCTTGATGCTGCTGTAGCAGTAGCCGCTGTCATAATACCCGCATAGACTTTACTCCAACTTTTCAAGTTCCCTGTATGAGCCCCTGATCAGACCCTCTAACACTGTGTTAACTGTTAACAGTTAAAGCGCAGTGTTCTCATTGTGATGTTTCCGAGCAGAGGCTTAACCACAACGAGATGCGTGCGCCACATGGCTGAATCAGAGACTACAAGAGCCTTTACGGGTTTTGAATGAGGACTTTACGGGCATTTAAAAGATTTTTTGGGGACTTTTGCGAGCTCTTAAGGTATTGTTGTCCAGAAATGTTGTGTTGTTCTAAAGGCTTCAACAGCTTTGTCTAACCTGAGGCTGGCGCTGCTGAAGAGGACTAATTAAGGCATTCAAAAAGCTCCGAACCTGAAAGGCGGTTTGCAGACTCTAGGTGTAAGTACTTCTTTTAAATCCCAGACCCTAAAACTTTGAAAGCCCTAAACCCCAAACCGTAATCCCTTAATACCCAACCTTAATCCCAAATCTGAATCCAAAATCCCAAACCGCTATCCCGAAACCCTAAGCCCTAAGCTCATAAACCCTAAACCCAACCCTCAGACCCTAAACTCCAATCCCTGAACCCGAAATCCTAAAACATTAATGATTAACCTGTTTCTAGAACCTCAAAAGAACCCGGAAACCGCGAAACCCGAAATCCTACACCCCAAACCCGAAATCCAAACACCCTTACACCCTTAAGCCCTATATTCCTAAAACCCTAAACCCTAAACCCTAAACCCTAAACCCTTAAGCCCTGTATTCCTAAACCCTCCCTCTGATCCCTTTAACGAAACCCTCACGCAAGCCATAAACTCCTATAGATGCCTTTAAGGAGCCCTTTTAAAGGGGACCCTTTAAAGGAACCCTAAACCCTAAACCCTAAACCCTGAACCCTAAACCCTAAACCCTTAAACCCTAAACCCCTAAACGCTAAACCCTTTAAACCCTAAGCCCTAAACCCCTGAAGCCCTAGGTTGGTGGACCTGCTCAGCGAGGGAGGCAAGCCAGTCCCTATCTCGGTTCCTTTGCTCCAAGCAGCGCAGTAGCGAAGCAGAGGGCTTTGTGGCTAGGGGTTGAGGATGTGAGATGGTTTAGGGTTTAGGGTCTAAGATGGCTTAAGGTTTCAAGATGACTTAAGCTTGAAGGTTTAAAGGGCTTATTAGGTTTTCGCAAAAGTTTTCATAAGGGCTCTTGCAGGGTTTCATAACGGCTTTCAGTGTGACAAGGTCCGGTTTTCATGAGTTTTCACACGGTTTAGGGCCCAGGGTGTTCATAGAGCTTGTTTAGGGCTTTGTCATGGTTTCATAAAGGCATAGCGTCAGAACGCTTTTTATGCGTTTTTGCAGTTTGGAGGGCTCCAGTTTCTCAGGACTTCCTGCATGCGGCGCTGACCATGAACGATACGGCAAGAACGATTCACATGATGCAGCCCCTCGATCGAAATGGGAATTTCTGACAATTAGGGGTACATTATTTGGGAGTCCTTATAATAAAGGGTTCTACTATTTACGGTATTATATTGGGTTTCCCTATTGTCGAAAACACCCAAATCATCGCCGGGCCTGGGAGAGCGACTGTAGAAGGCCTGAAAGGAACCCTCCGTAGAACTCTTAAAAAGGAAGCCCTAAGGGAACCCTGACCACCCTAAGCCCCGAAACCCCGAACCCTGCACCCCAAGTTTTGCAAACCGTGCACTCTCAACCTGAAGTGGACCTGCATTGGCATGCGGAGAAAAGGCCACTGCACTTTGAAGACGAAAGCCTCCGTAAACCCTCCAAGGAACTCTTACCCTCAATGTGAACTAATATGTTATGATAACCTACCGTTATACTAACGATAAGATCTGGTGATATTATAGCTACATTTTAGCTACCTAGTAGTTATATTTCAGCTTCAAACTATACGTATATTCTAGTAATATTTCTTCCGGTATAGTTGCTCCGGCTTCCCTGCCTAGTAGTAGAGTAGGTAACCTTTAACTTTTTATTGGGTAGTATAGTCCCTGTATCATCCCTATATAGCCAAAAAGGTTAACCCTGAGTTCCCCATGATACTCGACAAATAGGCATAAGTATAAGTGCAGTTCCTTACTTATCAAACTCGCTACCGCTACGTAGTCCTATGATCCTTTAAAACCCTCTATAGAGCCCTTATAGATCCCTTTCAGGAACCCTTAGTTACGCCCTGTCTTCTGAGGACGTCGATCGACGTCGCGCGGATTGAACGGGCTATCCTACAGCTCGGTCTGGACCTCAGCTTTATGAAGAGTTCCTTGTGGTTTAGGGTTTAGGGGTTAAGGGTTTTTAGGGTTTATAGGGTTTAGGGTTGGGAAGGCGTATTCTAGGTTTATACTTAGTAGCTGAGTGGATACACTCTACACTTTTTGGGATAATATTACCCACTATAAAACTAAAAGTGTACACTTTTTGGAGTAAGAACCTCAGCAACTAAGGTTCCTTCTTGTGGTTTAGGGTGTAGGGTTTAGAGTTGGGAAGGCGCATTATTGCGTTCTCTAGTAGGGTCCATTTTGGGGATACTATAGGGTTGCTATGGGGGTTCCTTTAAGCGTTCCTTTCAGGGCTGCTGAGGGGTGCTGTAAGAAGTGCCACAAGGGTTCTTATTCCCGCTATGCTCCAGACTATGTGATTTTGTATGATAGACCCCGAACAGGGCATTGCATTAAAAAAAAACTATTAAGTCAAAAAGCATATTCAACGCACCTCCCTAAACACTTAAAGCCGACAGCCGAAACCCTAAATCCCAAAGCCCTTCCCGTCTTCGTTGCCTCAGGTGCCAGGCAGAATGCCCTGCTCAAAAAACTGAGCACAGCTTCTCTGGAGGCCACGGTTTCCGCCGTTTGAGAGGCATTGGCTTCTCCGAACCACCGAAATTTTCCTTCCCTGACCACCCTAAACGGCTCCCCAAAACCTAAGCCCCCAGAACCCCCAAAGAAAAATCCACCCCTCCCCCCAAAAAAGGGCCCCATATCTTATTCAGCAAACTTAACAACATGGATCATATAACTAATAAGTATATATTATAACCCCCCCCCCCGCTTCCCCCCAAAAACAGGACCCTAACCCTCGATTCCCATTGTGAGCGCCAGTCCGGGCACCTCCGAAACCCCGAAGCTCTGCCGATGCGCCGAAAACCGGCGTCTTTCTGCTGGAAGGTGGAGGGAATATGGTTCATGATATCAATCCTGGATTGCCCATAACAAGGGATATACCATAAATCCCATAGTTTAGGGTCCTTAAGGAATTGCAGGGTTTATATCATCAACAGTATCCGGTTTAGGGCTTGGGGCTTAGGAATATTTGGTTTTAGGGTTAGGGTTGAGGACCATGTTCGGGTTCAGGGGTTAGGGTTTAGGAATATCAGGATTTAGGGCTTCGGGTTTAGGATCCTTTAGAGATGGCAGCACCGTATGGTCCCTATAGTCTACATGCCTTAATATACCACCCAGTATAGTCTTTGAAAGAGACTTCGGCTTAGATGTGAGGATGTGATAGCCTGTGCATGCTGCCCTCGCCACTGGAAGCTTGGTGGCTTTTTGCATGTCGTGGTAATCCATGACCGGTCAAAGCTTTTCGAGCCATAAAGGCTCAGAAAAAATGCGCTGCGTATTGCAACGTGAAAAAGAGTCCTGGAGCAGTTCCGAGCCGTGGATGCTTTCAGATACTGCTGCACGTTCTGGTGGAGGGGACGGACCATTTTGCCTCCCTCGGTTCAATAGAGAGGAATCCCTAAACCCTAAACCCTAATCCCTAAACCCTGAACCCTAAACTCTAAACCGTAAATAACTACTGCCATTACTCTTTGGGTGCACTAAAGCGCTCATGCCATAATATGCTACCTGGTTCTAATCTTTTAGGGCATCCTCAAGGCCAAAAAGACACCTGTGAAACCCCATATGGAAAACCCTTAAAGGAATCCTTTTCGAATTGTGAAGGCCTCTTATGCTATACCTGTAGCCGAAAAGACCTACCTTTTTGGGGTTCCTTCTTATGGCGTCTTATGGTTTCTTTATATCGTTCCTCAAAAGGGAGGTTTTTTGGGGCTACAGGTAATGCATGCCGCCACCCATAGGCCCCAAAGTAGTTCCTTTTTGGGACTTCCTTATGTATATATGAACCCCAAAAAGGAACTACTTTGGGGCCTTTGGGGCAGATGAGTGGAGCGAGTGCCGGTAAGGCCTTGGACGCACAGCTGGCGGCATCCTGGCGCTTGGCGATGCGGTCGCAGGCCGACGTTGGCTGATTTTTTCGAGCTTACCGTTGGTTAGAATAGTAGTAATAGTAGTTATAATTGTGCACCCTAAATATTAGGTGCCGTAATATATAACTACGATCCAAAAGGGACCATAATTTTGACCCCCAAACCCTACCCTAAACCTTAAACCCCAGACCCTAAAACCTAAACCCCAAACCCTAAACCCTAAACTCCAAGCCCTAAACCCTAAACACCAAACCCTAAACCCCAAACCCCAAACCCTAAACACCCTGTTGAATGCATCAAGGCTCCTCTTCTATCATGTTTTGCGGCATCTTTAGAAGGCTACGCTCAGGAGGACCGGATGTCGGGCTTTCAGCATAACCATACTCATGATTATGATGGTGATGATGTGGGTGACGATGGTGATGAGTTTTTCTGAACTTTGGAGGAACAAAAAATTCAGCGTCATTCATGTTCTCACTTCCGTTTCCATCCAATGGCCGTTCTGTTTGTCCTTCTTCCTCTCTTTCCGTCATTGTTTGCCCAACAGGTGCGCGACGTGCGGAAGGACAGAGCATATGTGGCAGTGCATGGGGCATTGAGCTAGACGGGTGAGGAAGCAGTTAAAGCACGCAGGTGGTGTGCGCATTGGCTTGTCGCTTGCCTGCGCAGACGCAGTTTTGCCAGTCTGAGGTGCGCCGACACTAGCCTGGATCCCTTATCACGTCTGTCGGAAGTCGTACCAATCATCGTCTTCGTGCAGTTATGTAGTTACATTACATGTATCATCAGTTTCTAGCAGGGCGCGCACCTTCACTGCTGGTGAACAACAAACATTGCCACTCTTGGCACAGTACATAGATGGTTGGCAACTCAAAGTCTGACTTAGTCTCAGGATCACTCGCACTTCCACGGCTGGTTGCATAAAGTTGTCTTCATACAAGTAGTACCTTCAAGTTGCTGCCGGCACCAGCGACACCAATGCTATCGGTATTGCATGTTCCCCTTTACACTTTCGAAGTCCTAATTGCATCTCTAGGATTACCAGTTATTCTGTCATAGACTGATGTGCTGTTAGCTGCCAGCACCGCATGGCATTTCATGGAGCCCAGTTTGCTTGTCGCTGTATGTTTGCAAAATCAGCGGCCGTCGGTCTTCGTGTAGCCTGCCTTTGATAGAGTTACTGTTGATGATATAAATCCTGCATTACCCATAATAAGGAATATACCATAATTCCCATAGTTTAGGGTCCTTAAGGTAATGCAGGATTTATATCATCAACCCTAAACCCTAAACCCTATAGATCCCTTAAAGGAATCCCCTTAAAGGTACCCTTATAGATCCCTTTAAAGGAAAGCTAGGGATTTATATCATCCACCGTAGGGTTCAGGGTTGGGTTCTCAACCCGGAAGTCTGGACCCTGAAGCGCTAATTCCACAACTCCGCTTTGTCAAGGAAGGAGGCACTGTAAGCTTCTGCAAGTTTCGCATCCTCAGTTGGGAGTTGCACGTTTCAGAAAGTTAAGGGACTCAGTTAGGGAGTTTAGGGTTTCGGGTTTCGATTTCGGGTTTTGGGGGTTTAGGGTTTAGGGTTCCGAGTTTCACAAAGTTTGGCCGTCATATTTTACGTTGCAGGCTGCAGCACTTTATGACGGATTGTTTCTCTCATTGTGTTGGGAGTTACTTCCTGTAACTCTCAGATATGGGCAAAGCCCTCACCTTTCTCAAATCCAGCAGACAGCTGACAGTAGATCCTAAACGCACCCTTCCTTCTCTCTTCGCAGCCTGTGAGGATCGATCATGGTCGGCTGAACTAGTCTCCTCTCAGAGGGCCCTCATGGAAAGAGTGATGTGATTGCTTCGGGATCCAAGCGAAGCCTTGTTCCCAGAGAGCCCAACATCCCCTACTTAAGAGCCATACCTGCACCTAAAGGGGCATTCACAACATCATGGAACGTATATTCCTTACTTGAATGTTATTGGGCTCCCAGCGAACATAGGGATCCGAAAATTTAGAACGAATAGCCCCTTGCAGCCCGAAGTGCTGAATGAAACTACAGCTGATACCAAGGCCCTTTTAAAGCCCCCTGAAAAGCCCTTCCAACACCCAACCGTTGGAAGGATCTTGTTCGCTCGCAGCTTGTCTGCGAAGAGATGTCTCTAGAAGGCGCGCGCGCGCGTTCAGGGTTTGGGCTTTGGAGGTTAGGTTTTGCAGTAAACCCCATAAAGTTGGAAACCGGAATAAGACCAAACAGTGTTGGGATTGCCTATACATGACTCTTAAGGATTGAGGCTACTACTCTAGGGTTTAAATAGGAATACCTAGGGCTCCTTTAAGCGATCTATAGGGTTCCTTTATGGGAGCTGTAAAAGGGACCTCTCTGCAGGCTTTGGGCTGGTGGAATCATTCAACGTTTCGGGTGCGCTAGAAGAATTACAGGGGCCTCAATAATTACCAATACTATATGGAGGGTTCCTTATGATAATTATGGTATAATGGGCTCCAACACCCTATTCTAATTATTAAGGCCCCTATATTCGAAGTATCGTCTGGGTAGATTTACCAGCTTGTTGTGTCTTGCTAGCGGCAGGCGTCTCTGCATAAGTCCTTGCATCGCCCCGAACCTTAAACGCCAGACCATGAACCCTAAAGCCTAATCCCTGAATCTTTGAGCCTTGACCCCTGGACTAGACCTTACCTCCGCCCTCCTGAGCATTTCAGGTGTGCTGGAAATGGTTTTATGTGGTCCTGCCGACAAGGTGGAGCACTTCTGGCAGGCCAGTGGCCAAGCCGGCGACATGTATATTGAAAAACTATCACTCCTTCGGGTTCTCATTAGAAGTGTATTTGCTTGTTCCTTTGTAGTCCCGAATATGCCCGAAGTCTGATCTTCACCGAAACCCTAATCTAGGTATTCATGCCATTATTTCCAACCTTACAGAACCCTGCTCTACACCCAAGGGTCCAAGTACCCGATAATCATACACTCTCCGAAATCGTAACCTACATAGCTACTATCCTAAAACCGAGTACCTAAGTATTGGGTCCTTTGGACCCTTGGGGTACTTGTTGAAGCCCCTGTATCAGGTTTTGGGGCTGCAGTCCCAGGGCACAAGACCCGAAGGGGAGACCTAGAGGGCCCAATGCCACCTTCCTTCTCAACTAAGGAACTATAGTTTGCTTACGAATTCTTTTTTTGTTTTTGTTCATATAATAAAACCCAAACATATTATTTCCATTATGGTTCTAAGGGGGGTATAGGGAATTTACCTCGAGGTAGTTTTCCTTAGGGTTCCGACTGTAAGTATAGAGCAAGCAATGAACATATCTACCTTCAAGCCTGATCCAAGCCCCGTATACTTTGAGGTGCGTTCCTTTCTTGGAGGGGCAGGGGACTTAGTAAGTAGGTTAGAAGTAGAGTTATAAGTACCCTAAATGGAGTTACCCCAATTATAACCCTACTTATAACCTACCTACTAAGTCCCCTGCCCCTCCAAGTTGTTAAGGGCTAATACTGGGCTGTGGGATGTGAGAGATCTTTGGATTGAGGGTCTAGGCAGAGCTGATAGGAAAGATCTGAGGGTTTGGAGGTTAGCTTTTAAGGCTTAGTAAACCCTAAACGCTAAAGTATGTAGGGTCCATCAGG